GAGTTAGTATTTATGAGAATGCTAATTCGAGTACAATGTTAATTGTTTTTTAAAAAAAAAGAAATACGGGTCGGATTGTTTCAGGAGATACCCTGATGGAAATGTTCTAAATTTTGTAGATACCCAATTGTAATGTGTCATCATTTCATTGGTTCATTATTTCTAAGTTTTCTAGATACCAAGTGTCATGTATCAACATTTCATTGCTTCATTATTTTTTTTTAATTTCAAACTTTAAAAAATAATTACACTAGTTGAAAACAATTAAACTAATATATATTAGATAATCAATGGGTATCTCCCATTAAGATTGCTTTAAGTAAAAAGTTTTAAAAACCAAACAATCTCAAAACATAATAAGCAAAAGTCATTAACAACCATAAGAAATTATAAATATAGGAGGAGAATGAACACACTAATAGCAATGCATTGATAGTTTGAATCCTTCCTGATTTTGGAAGTGTGAATCTTATTGTTTGTGCAAACATGTTCTTGTCCATCTTCAATGTTTTCTATATTTTTTTCTTCTAGACGCTTTGACAATGGATCAACGAAGCCTCACCTTTCTTTCAACCATTATGGCTAATCAAAAATCATCACTAACAACAGAAGGTGGAATTTAAGGGATAAGCGTGGCCGGCGATTAAAATAACAATGTAATGCGGTCCGCGGCGGTGATGATGTAACAGAGTTGTTCCCGCGAGCCTTCTCTAAGAAAAACACATGTTGATGATTAATGCTTAGGGCTACACGCATGCACAAATTAATACTCGCTCATTTTCAAAATATGAGACTATTACAAATTTATAACAAGTTAAAAAGAGATTATGAAACTAAAACTAATACTCCATCCGTTTCAAAATATAGGATGTTTTGGAAGTTTTCTTTTGTTTTAAAATATAAGATGTTTTGACAATCTTAAGTAAATTTTAATTTTATTGAATATTGTGTGACCACTAATATTTGCACTCTTTTGTGTGATTGATAAAATTGTTTTTATTAGATATATTAAATGATACTTTTTGAAATAAAAGTAGTTTATTGAACTCCGCGTTTTTAGCCAAAACATCTTACATT